ATATATATATATATATATACAGAGAGAGAGAGAGAGGGAGGGTGAGACAGAAGGATCACAAAAATAAGTTCTCCTAAACTAGCCAAAGATAAAAGTATTTTACAAATCAGCAATCGTCAACATGCTCCAGCTAAATCCTCCTATATAAAATTTTCCCCCCAAACCTAAACTAATTCAGTCGATCAATCTTGACTAGAGATTGGAGAATAAATGATCTCCCAGACCTCTCACAGTTCCTAACAAATAGTGGCCACCACTTCTTCCACGCTCTCCACCTTCTCTACACGAGCCAACAGCTCGCACACCCCATCAATTCACTGGATTTCTACTGACAAAGCAAAGATGTTCTTGATTTCATTAAGGGCGACCCAACAATCCAAAAGATGTAAGACGCCCATTAGTTGCTTCCGATGGTCTCGAGAGAATCGTTTGGCCAATTAACCCCACCATCATCACTCAAGAGTCATCCGCCCTCACCCAACATCTATTTAGTGCTCGTCGGCATCTCAGCTAGATTCTTACTTTTAACAATCAGGACTAGATCCTTGCACAAGCCTCTAAAAATCGAGTCATTTGCACCAAGTGATAATGTAAAGCATACGAACTTCAAAAAAATTAAAACAAAACTAAGTCTGCCATACCCAAGACATGATCCATGTTAGACAATGCAATCATCTTATTATGCGGCAGTAGAGCACCAACTTCATGTACAACTCGTTTAATTGGCGGATCTTGCACTGTAGTAGAACGTTGGACAAGAAAATTAAAGATCGAGTCAGTCAACTGAACATTATTCCGCTTCTTATCGAGAAACAAATCAGATGACCCCATATGATCTATCAGTTCAGTTACAACAACTTTTCTCGTCTTAATGATGACTTATTTTTTCCTCTCATCTCCTTTCAATAACCTAAAACCAACACTGAGCAGATCCTTGTTGGGAATCTCACCAGAGGGATTTGATGTTTCCATTACAACACTTAAAAGCCGAGTGTCAGGGAGCAAATAAAAATGTGAGGAATCTTGTCACGTCATATTTATAAGAATTAAAGACGCAAAAACTAAGAGAATTCAATTATAAGGACATAAACTAAACAATAAATTAAATATACTTTTTCATTTAATTATATTATTTTTATCACATTGTTGCTTTCAAGAAGCATAAGAAACAACTAACTAATTGTGTACATCAAAATATGTCAGTTCTGATTCTGAGGAGATCTAACAGTCCATAAGAGAAAAGTAGAGTGAATATGGGCCAATTGACAAAAGATCATAGGGCTTACTTATCCAATCAAGGGATGTTGTCAGAGCCAAGCCAACGAGACAAAAGTCGATCAAATCACGACATAGAACAAAGATGGTTGTAAAATAAAAGAACGAGTCATTCAATTAAAAATGACAAAAGGATATCAAAGCCAGCAACAATAGGAAAGCAAGCCTACAGGAAAATTTGATTCCCTAACATCTTCAATAATCTCACAGAAACCCAAAGAAGTCTCATCTAGGGCTAGAGATTAATAAGAGGCCTGTAACGACCGAGCCAATTCACATCAACAAAGCTCAGCCGATCGAGCGGAACTTAGCCAACCGAGTTGACCTTGTCAAACCAAAACCAATTAAGTCTAACCAACCGAGCCAGAAAAAAACTATAACCCGAGCTTACCCATGTAATATACTCTATATATACCACAATATACAGACCTTTAAAGCAAGAACAAAGATGTAACATTTTCATATTATACATTCTCATGTATAAATAGAGGAATAATTTTATAAATAAGGGATTATATAATGGAATACTATCAATTAATATTCACTCCTCTCTGCGAATTACATTACTATTCACTCTTCTCGCTCCCTCCCTCTATCCTAAAGTTTGATTTACGGGCAAATTAAAATTCAACAATCGCAGATACAATAGGAAAAGCTTGGCAAACATGAGTTCATTTTCTAAAATTAAAGAAAAATAAATAAATACTTTAAGAGGACTTTGACAATGCTTATGTGCAAACTTCTATTAATTGAAATTGAAATAAAATGAAAACTAACGAATAGCATCAACTAAATTTTGCTTCTTTATTATTTCACGCATTGATTTTTAATGATTAAATGCTCCCAGATCATATAAACGATCACAAATATTTTTTCAATAGATCACAATCTAAATTATGCATTTTGTTATTACTTTTTTGAAAAGATTGTGTGTGTGTGTGTTTGTGTGTGTGACAATATGCAATTCAAAGCCGTGACCTCATGATACGAACCCATAAATTCAGCCATTATGTCGCAAGTAAATGCTCTCAAATAATATAATAAATGTTCACTTATCATATATGAATAAAAAGTGATTTCAGTAATTATTATTCATATTCAAATTTTGAGAAATTAAATTCTTTGTTTTAATAAATGTATCCAAAATAACAACCAAATCTACTATATTAAAAAAACTAAATTTAAAATAGTCATAATCAAGCTAATAATGTGAACAAAAAACTTAATCGATTGAAGAATTTGTAATCAACCATAAAACCTAAGCTAAAGATCTCGTTTTTTATCAACCATTAGACTAAACAATAATTTGGATTACAATTAGACAATGATCACATGTAATATGCATTTATATTATAATATCACTTTAATCATGAGGAAAACCACACTAATAACAATATCGTACATTTTTACCCAAAAAAAGATAACTTAAAAAAAGTTTCATAAAACAATAATGATAATAATTTCATCAAGCATTTAGTCAGTTTAGTTACCCTCTTTATCGAGTATCAAAAACAGACCTTATCAACTGTCTTATTCTGCCTGCAGACAATGTTAGCAGATCCAATATCTCCTCTAGTAGAAAACTTTACTCCTTCTTTGGTGGCAGAAATTACAACTGCCATCATCCAAATCAAAATATTTAGAAAAATAATCAACAGCAATGCATACAAACTACACTTTTGAAGTGTAGTTTGAATTAAAATTTTACCAGTATCTCCTATGCTGCTGAGATCCTTGCATATTCTTGCAAATTCTGAAGATGGCATCTTTACAATTGCGTGATACTCTGCCTCCGGAATGCCGTGCTCCTCTGCCTCCGGAATGCCGAGATGCTCACTATCAATGTCCATAAGTTTCATCTCGAAATCAGAAATCTTGTCTTGATCTGCTCAAATACAGGCCAATACAACTTAGAAAGATTTACAAGGAAACAATTGTTGAAATTTGCTCGAAAAAAGAATAATTCCGTGTATGCAGCTATTATTATACCGTCAACGAATATAACACCTCATCTAAAACCCTCATATTAAACTAAAAAATGAAAACTTGAACGAGAAAAATCATTCACACAATTTATCATAGCTAACATTAGCAATACAATCGAACACTCCAAAATTAACCAGCGAATAGAGAAATAAAGAGAAGTAGTAAAGCGTGATTGAAGCTATCATTTTACTTACTGGGGCTCTCGAACATGAAAGTGACGGTGTCGCTGCCATCATCACCCTTGATGGTAATGATGTCATCATTTCCTGCACACTTAAGCATCTTGGACATATTATTGAGGTTCATCCCCATGGAGATGTTTCGATCGCAGCGATAGTGTTCGAAACCCTCCGATCGGAGGAGCAGCGCCACTAGAGCGACATGGCTGGAATCCATGGCCTGGAGGGAGAACCCGGTCGCTGAACAATCGAAGTTGGCATCAGTCACTAAATCTTTGATGGCCTCGAGAACCTTCTTCAGAAGACTGCCCTGCACTAACCTTAGCTCCAACATCTTCTCGCGAGCTGCGGTTGATACGACAACAATTTTTACACAAGTGAAGGAAGCAAAGTTTTCTCTTTTCTCCTTATCGTCGCTTGGAAATGTTTACCAGGAGGACTCGATATATGCTTTTGGGGAGGTGAGCCGCCGAAATGCAATTTTTGGCGGAGCTTGGCGGGAATTTTTTAATTTGTTCCCGCCCGTTCTCTGTGGCCGCATTTATAGTCTAGAAAAATTTTGGTTGGGAGTTTATTTAGAGGGTATTAAGTGTTATATTGTGTTATAATTCATATATCTTACTTCTGTAACTCTAAAATTATATAAAAACAGATGTGTGAAACTAACTAGAAATTACAGGTAGATTATATGGGGTATAACACAGATATAACTACTAATACCCTCTGAGTAACCTCTATGACATACGCAACGCTGTGTACGTCTTACATACGCAAATTTTTCTCCACTTTGAAGTTGTTAGTGAAAAACATTTAAAATTATTTTGAGTTGATAATATTATTTTATTTAAGATGTATACATTTAAGATGTATGTAATTGAAAAGCATTTAATAATGTGTTTGAAGTTCGCTGCGTTTGGACAACCAATGTGATACAGGAAGGAAGCGGAGAAAAACAAAAAATCAACCTACCCGTGCATCACATCTGTTGTCCGAGCGCAGCCTGTGTCCGGATTCCAAAAGTAATATTTACTCATCAAACAGGAGAGTTAGTCTAATAAATGAAACATTAAATTGGCTTTGCAATTTATACGCGGCCTTAGTGGCAAGCTGAACTAAGAAACTTGAGGAACTGCATTAATACATCACACGAGTCTCAATACAAAGTTCAGTATGGCCGCCTTTGCCCGGACATACTCACATCAAAATATATACATAATAAATATATGTTTATGTTAAGAAGTTAATGATATTCCTGGCGATTTGGCGTAGCTTAAAAATGTAAGTGTAATATAAAATAAATAATGAAATAAAAGCATCTGCTAAGTAAATATCTAAGCGTAATTTGGTATGTTCGTAAACTCACTTTGTTGAATGCAATTATAAATTTTTATTAATTTCTCACTCTGGTGTTGGTGTTGTTTTTTTAATTTTTAAAATGTAAGGACTTTTAAATTCTCAAACATGTAAAGTGAATCATCATTTTTTTATAAAATTTTCATTTTAAAATCATTTAGTGTAATATCATTATTATGATGGCATGTAGAATAAACAATAAATCAAGAAACTTAGTGTTGACCTCACTTTTGGTTGAGGTTTAGTTTTCACTCTTTAGTAGTCTAAGGTCTAGCAATAGCATTTTCCTGTTAAATATTTCTAAAAAACTAGAAAATAAACCATCACCATTAGAAACTCTAAATTCTTCCTTGCTCAACTTGAAGTTCCACATATTGGTCATACCTCTAGCACTTAATAGGTGAGGTCAGTATAGAAGATCTTAAGGAGAGTCCCCATATGACTACTTGACCTTAGAGTTGACCTTAGGTATTGGTCTGGAGTTATTTCAATCAATATCACCTATTTTCACTTGCAACTCTAAACCCAAAATTGTTGATTTTGATCCCTTGATCTTTTGAGAGACTCGTGTGGTTGGTCCCCTAGACCCACTAGCCTTAAGCTAAGGTTTAGCTAAGACCGGTACATAGAGGACCCAGATGGGGATTTCATTGGTTCATAGCTCATATAAGGTGATTGGCACTCCATTCTACCAAAATATTCAACTTGGCCTTTTGCCCATAAATTCATCTAAATTGCCTAAATGCCCTTGAAACGCTAAATTTGGCCAAAATTTCCAAATTTATCCAAAATACCCAAACTTATTCAAAGATCATTTCAAACCATTTGCAACCACCCAAATTACCCAAAATCACCCAAAATTGCCAAATTTACCAAAATACCCTCAAATTTGCCAAAATTAAAAAAATACCTTTGGTGTCAAAAAATTTCCCAAAACATCCAAAATCACTTTAAATATCTCCAAAACCAATTTGGGCCCTTTGATTTAACCCAATTTGGCCAATTTGACCATTTTAATTAAAACTCCCAAATTGCCTTTAAAGGCCCAATTTATCCAAATTCACTTCACATACCCATCAATTTGGCCCCAATTCCCCTTAATTTCAATCATAAACTCAAACTCAACTTTCATATGATTACTCCAAACCAAATCCAAGCCTAATTGCCCATGCTTTGAGCTCAATTTTGATTCAAATCAAAACCGCCAACATTAGCTCTATGACTTAATCTGACCTAATTGAACCATATGATCCACTCAATTGCCCCAATTTAAATCTTAAATTCTTCCTGACAATCCTACACATCAAATTGGACCTTCATTTGGCATTGTTCGAGGCTCAATTTCACTCAGTTTCAACCCACAGTCAAAATCTCCAAATTTGCCCCAAATTAGTTATGTCTCCATATTCCACCAAATTGATTGTCCTAACTCAAAAATTGACACCCAATTTATGTTGAAAACTCTTTATGACATTCCTATAGACCATTTTAATTCATCAATTTTGGCTTAGTTCAAATTTAGCCCAACTTAAACCCAAGTCTAACCCAACACCCCCAAATTGACCAAATACCCAAAATCCTCCAAATTGAACCTCTAAACCAATTCAAAACCACTCCAAATCTTTTCCAACCCTCTTGTGACAATCATATACACATTATTGATCAATAAATTGAGCTTAATGTAATGTATAGCCTAACTCAAACCTAACTTCTAGCCATTTTAACCCAAATTGAACCCCTTCCCAAAAATTGACTTAGTCATGCTAACATCACCAAATTGATGTTGCCACAGCCACTAAGCACACTCTATTGACAAGGATAAAACACCTTAAACTAGCTTGTTGAGCTATGGACCAAGGGTCTTCTTCTTTAAGGGATCTTCTTCCATTAATGGGCCTTAACCAAAATATCCCCTCCATCATCACTTGTCATTGAGGGTTAACTCCCTAGCTCACCTTACCACCTAGCCACCACCCTTTGCTCTGTAGGTCGGCCCAGTGACTAGAAAAATCCAAAACTGAGGGCCACCACCCTTAAATCAAACCCAATTTTAACCCTAGAGGTCAGCTCATCCTAATGGCTTTTTAAAACTCTTCTGCCCTACGCATAAGTAGCTTATTGCACCCACTAGTTGGCTCTGAGCTCCACCAGGCATCCATGGCTTTAAATTGACCTCTCCACGGTCAAGGAAGAGAGAGCTTGAAACCTTGGGGAAACTCTGCTAAAATCTCACCAGAGCTTCTTCAAACCTTCCTAAGTGTAATCCCCTTGCTCTCAACCACCCATAGTCACTCAACAGAGTTAAATTATTCACTAAAATTTGCCCCAAAACCAGGATAAATTTCTCCACACCTCCAAAGTGAACCAAAGTCCAATCAATGTGCCTAGAGTAAGAGGAGTTGATTCACCATCAAAGCCCGCTCTGAAACAGCCTCTAGGATAGCTCTAGACCAACACCTGAAATCCACCTTGATCGAAAACATACCTAGACAATTCCTTAGTGCTTGAGACTTCATCTGAAGTTTTGTTGGACTCAATTGAAGCTACCACAACCATCTGATTGAGACATCCCCTCTCAGACAAAGGTATTGAACCTTAACCCAAAAATCAAACCCTAATCCGAGCTAATTTTAACTCTCCATGTGTAATGGCTCTATTTCATACTTGATTAACCATATAGATAGGTTTGTCCTGAGTAGATGAAGGTTTAGAAACAAACCTCATATGATTTAGTTGAGTCCATGCGAAGATCTTAAGGTTTTAATGTGAACAACTTACGAGTTAAGTCATTTGGGGACAATGAATGAGAGTTGTCTGATCGCACGCTTATTTTACAGACATATGAGATTAAGTCAGATGAGCGGATGGTGCAAAAAGGCGGGCTGATGAGGCGGCTACGTGGCTAGCTGTGTCAAATGACGGAGCGTAGCGTGGAGACTTCGGAGCAGGCGAGGTTGAGGTGGCGTCGCGTGGATAAGTAGATAAATAGGAGGTTTTTTTTTATTTATTTTAATGCCTGATCTTTGAAAATTCATATCATTGCTTAGAAAAATCATAAAAAAAAAAGAAAAATACCCTTATGCTGCCTAAAATAACAGAAGAGAACAATGTGGACTAAAAATAAAAATTATTTTCTTATATCCTGATTTTTTTTATTTAAATACCCTATAGAGTATTTTAATTCATTATGATCAAACATTGCTCACCATGGCTTGAAATTTTGAGGGTTTGTTCCTCATCATAAGGATTATGTCCTCTGATTTGTTCAAGGTCAGATGCCATCTCTATGCTTCTAACCCTAATTTTCAAGCTAGAGTGGTCATTTTGGCTTATTTTAATAATGTAAATCAAATAATTTTAGTAGGTTTCCTATGGTCAGAGAAGTTTATGAAAAATATCATGATGTCTTAAATTATCTTGTAAATTTTTATATCTAATTAAATGTAAATATCTTGTGTTAGTTTTTCTAAATTATATACTAATAAATAATTGACAAAATTAATCCCGCATTGTTCATAAAAGTCATGTTTATCCATTGTAAAAAAATGAAAATTATTTCATTAAGTTCAAGTATTAAAGTTAATTTTCTAAGGAACCTAGTATTTTTGTACAAAAAATAATTATATCAAATTAAATATACTTGGAAAAATTATGAAAAGTGGTTTTCTGAATTCCTTATGATTAGAGGCACTTGGGAAAAATAAAAACTATTTTTGAGAAAATACTTAATTTTTCAGCTTTATTTTGAATTTAAAATCATTAAAAATACATGTATATATTTAAAAAATTCAAAAATAAAAAAAGTACTTCAAAATGTTCCTAATAGTTTCCTGATCACTTGAGACTCATTAAATTATTTTTCCTAATTTTCTAAGTTAAAATAAAATTTTAAAAGTATAAAAATGAATTTTCCTTATTTCTCCCATTAAAATAATTATAATAAAAAAATTAAAAATTATAAAAAATTCAAAATTTGATTCTCTGTATTTTTTTAGCTAAAATAAGTCTAATAAAAATATTAAAATAATTTTTGAAATTAAAACATTATTTTCTATTTAATTAAATCATTGAAACTTGTTAATAATTAAATAATAATAATAATAATAATAATTTAA